TATCGTGTATTTCTGCGGAAAATAACTGGAATAGTAGGCGACTTGTCGTGCGAGGATGAGAAACCTTGATGTATAGAAAGCTGTTGCAGCTTTGTACAGCAAGGACGTTCTAGGAAATGGCCCCTTGAGCGGCGGACTTAAGGAAGTCTGAGCGATTAGGCAGTAGCCAAATCCATTGGCTGTGTTCGTCTTGGCACAGGCTGACAGGGATGCTACGTGTCGAACAGGTCAACGCTATGCCCAATCTGCTAGGTGGGGTGTCGTGATCCCTGCTTGCAGTGTGGCGCAGACTTTGCTGGGACTGAGCGCTTGACGGGAAGCCGGTTTTGCTAAGCACTGTATGCATAGACAGAATTATAGTGTAGATGAAAAGGCAGTAGCTTTTGTGAGCCGGATATGCAAGCGTTGGAGACAGCGCCGCAACCAATCGCCAAACATACTGTTGCGGCGAAGTGCTGGTCAAGGAGCGCCCAATCAGAACAAGGACTTTGGCACACATCGCAGAGGTCTGGCGAACTGCGCCAGTGACAGGACATTGATTGGCCCCTTGGACGTATCATACCTACTATCTCGGATCTTGCATGTGGGGTCTCCTTCGCCTTATTCGCGGTTTTGAGATGTGGTGGGCGGTAACAGCCCCTGTGTAGCGCCCCCAACTTGGAGCGGCTGGGTACAAGAGCTGCCAGGTGCTCTAAGACAGCGAGGACAAGGTGAGTGCAGAGTCAGAGATTCAGAAACCAGAAATCAATAGTGAAAATCGAAGTTCACAAAACTGAAAAGAACAGACTGGTTTTTGTGTTAGCAAGATGTGCACCAAACCATGGAGTCTGCCTCGAGCCTGCCTCAAATGTTGCCTGAAATCCTCATGCAATACAACAATCTATTGAAGTTTCAACACGCAAAACCGCAGCCAGTCGTCAAACATGCCGTTGCGGCGAGGTGCGCCCATGTGCTACGTCGTTGCAATTTGTCCACCGGACGTGTTGTCTTTCAAGACCAAGTCCTGCTTAACAATATAATACAATACATCTAATAGGCTGTAGAACTCGAAGTTCTCAATACATCGAGAAGGACTCAAATGCGAGTACCTTTGATAAGGAATCTGCATAACAATTCCAAAAATATCAATTCCAATATATATTTTTGAAAGATGGATTAACGTATATCCAAAAAACGATTCGCATCGGTGGTTTAGTGGTAAAATTAGCCGTTGCCATCTGTATAGATTAACTCGGCTAGCCCCGGGTTCGGTACGACATGCCTCTGACATCAATTCGATCATTTCTTCTAACACTTTATTAGATTCCCGGCCGATGCAAACTTTCTTTTTTGCTTCTGCATCGTCTTTTGCGCAGTCATGGGGTGGAGTTGAAGATGGAATTGACTTTTTTGAAGCTACGGCGTGGGGCACGTGCCATCGAGTCATGAACATTATCTTTCTATTTGCTCTGCATCTACACTAGAGATCCACATAGAGGGGCAAGCCGTAGAAACGTACTCCATCTAAGGGGTGCCTCACGCTTTGCAGTGCTTTCAAGCCGTTTGTCGTTGAGCGAGGGCTCTTGTAGCGACTATGTAATCACTTTATTTTGATACAGTCTTCTACACTTCCTAAAGAGGAGCCTTGGCGCAATGGTAGCGCGTTGGTTTTCGGCTGAAAACATCTATTCACCAAAGGTTGTGGGTTCGGTAAGTTATTCTCCAAGCTCCAAGTTCGAATTCAGCTACTAACATAATTCAAAGATCCCCATGGGCTTCGTCTGCTTTTTGATTCATTGATTGGCGTCTAATATTTTTGTAACGGTGCTGTCGGCCCTTCTATTAGTTGGTAGAGTTCGACGGAGGTGAAGTACACTTACAGCGGCTATGAATGTGTGCTAGTCTACGCGGACGAGCTTTCTTTTTGTATTTAAATCAGTTTAGCCATTACTAGATTATGATTTTCACTTTCTTGAGACACCATTACAAAATTCACTGCCGTTATGGCGATACTGTTGGATGCTATGTAGAACCTGAAAAGATTCCAAAGTGCTCTTAGCGTATGCATATGTACCAGAAAGGTGATCGCTAGCCCAGAACATAGTCTAGCTTATGAACCGAAATCCCATGTCTTAAGACCATCGCCAACCACGCAAAGACCAGGAACCCCTCACCCAAAGTAAGTACGTCAATGCAAGTTATGAAGATCGAAAACAAGTGCCTGAAGATCCTCGCGTCATCGTGAGGGATCTGTGGGGCGGGAGATTGCGATACGCCGTTTTGTACCCCGTAACTTTAATCTTGAAACGACGGTACTCAAGACATCGCCTCGTCAACCGACGATTGAGGCGTGATGGAGATGGACAGAGGGAGGAAAGTTGATGTTTGATGCGAGGTTATAGTTGAGGTAGGTCCCTTGCTGAGCTTGTGCGCTACAGTCGCAGCTTTGCGTTTGATGACTTGACGTATGTGAATTAGCTGTTGAATTCAGTTGTGGCGTTTCTGAGAGAGAGTTTGTTTTGGGTCAATACCAGTCAATACCAGTTAAAGTCTTCGAGTAGGTATCGTTGAACCTAAGCAATAGTGCTGATGTGCCTCTGAATTATATTCTAGAGCTTACTGCTTTAAAGAGCGTCGCCCAAGTAGCACTCCGATGCAGGCGTTTCAATTGAGTGCTCAGCTAGGTAGTCGAGACATGATGTAGTCTGTTGAACATCCGAGTCGGTTTAGTCCGGTGACGATATTCTGGCGGCCGCTGCACGCATAACGTCGACGACCTTGTCAGCTTTCCTGTTGACAACGTTGGGAGAGATGAAACGCCTAGGTGTTTGGTCCGCATAACACGCATATGGATGCGGGTGCGTTCTGCAAGGACATCATCGGACACAGCGTATCCAGATCCATGGCGCTGAGTTGCATGACCCTCCGAGATCCCGCAGGTGGCGGCTGGGCGGGAATCGACGATCGGAGAAAAGTTCAGCACGATCATGCTTTCTCTCGCATGCGCTGCAATTGGTCACAGTCTCGTCGGTGAAGAACAGCCGCCATATCTGGCGTCTTTGCTCGTGTGACGTTGAACATGAAAGCCACTAAGGCTTCATCGTGCAGGTCTAGTAAGACAGTCCAGACGCCGATTGTACTAATTTGGGGTACCGAGCAGGTCACACCGAAGAATTCTGATTGGGAGGCCGTCAAGGATTTAAGTTGAGGGACCGAGACATGATAGAACGCGCGTTCAGTACCGAAGAGGTAAAAAATCAACTGCTTTAGCTGGAAGCGAATATATCCAAAAGTTCGTTGAGCGCTGCTGAAGAGGACCCGAAGATATTCAGACCTCCTTCAAAGCTCTGCAGTTCTTGTTCCCAACGCTTCCGCCTTCGACTATGTTGTTGTAAACATGATCTCATGAGGCATCGCTGTAAGCCTGCTTCCCAGAGAAGAGGTGCGTCCCGGGTGCCGTACATATTGAGTTGTGAGTTCAACAGTACAACGAACATGTCCGTCAGTGTAGTACAGAGTTCTGGTGATAATACAGTTGGAGAGAACCGCAGGATCGATTTGACTTCGAGATCCGAAGGGGCGGTTCATCGCGGTGTTGGTTTCCGTATGTCCCGTCAGTTTGGGTGTGCGAGAACTTAGTTGCAGAACTGCTTGGTGCTATGGTTAGCGCGAGTCTAGAGGTCAGGAGCAACCGTGGAACAGAATATTAGGGGATGAAAATCTCCACTGCCTAGAGACGTTACAAATCTGAAGATACGAAGCCTGCCATCAACTTCAATGGTGGGTTGCGAAGTACGAGGTGTGGAGCTGGCAGTAACCTCGGTTACTTCCGAAAGGGGAAGGCGTTTTTCATGTAAAGACAGTCGGTTGGTCACAATTGCTCAAAATAGCAGACGTCCCGCTTTATTAGCAGTCACGTCATCCTGGTGAAGAGCGGAATGGAACTTGCCGCGAATCGCCTTCGAAGTGTGAGGAGTGGTAAGCGCGTTAAGAGGAAAGAATCTCTCGCGTTCTGCAGCAAGTGCATTGCGCGATCAAAGAAGATGACGGCGTGCATAGCGAAGGCAACATCAAACGGCTCTCATCTGGTTGACCCGGCATCCTCGTCGTTCCCCTCGTCTTGGCAAAATGCGAAACTCATCTCACGGAGGTGAACCTGCAGACCCGCGGATCCATTGAACCTCGTGCGATGCATACGCAGCGCCTGGGCCGTAGGCCGTAATGAGGTTATCTCATCAAATAAGAGAAGGGCGGGAGACTCTGTAGAGAGCGGGGCAGGCATGTCGGTGAGCTTCAACATCGCAAGTAGGACCATGAGCGTCCTTATCGCATGCATGCCAACAACGGCATCCTTGTCGACATCCTCGAGCTCCCCACCGCCATTCACCAAGTGCTACAAACGCTCAGCCGCAGGTATGGGCCGCTCCGGGCTTGCTCTGGGGATTGGTTGCTTTCCCCCGCTCCAAGCGGCGAATTCGTAATTGTTTACCAGATCGCGTCGTATCTGCTCGGACTAAACGCGTCAAACAAGGCATCTATTCGCGGATATCGCACCCGTTTCTGCGCATGCCCACACACACACACTCTGATGCGAAGCTGAATTGTAGGAAGTGGTCACGTCAACACACCAGGTGCGGCAACAATTGGTGCGCGATTCCTAACTACTGCAAGGTAGCCTGTGTGTCTTCAGGCAAGTCCTGTTGTTTCGAGAAAATAGCAAAAGCTCTTGAAAACAACCAGGCTTTGACGGGAGGCTCGTGCATGGGTGAATATAATTCGTTTTGTTTCGTGGACCCTTGAATGCGGGCGATCATGCGTTTCCACGCCTCAGAATCCTCTGCTTGCTCGGAAGCGGTCCTCGGACCGGAATGAAAAGCAGGCGGTGACGTTGAGCATAAATTTCTGTCGTGTGCCGTTGCCATGCATCTACAAGTGCCCGATCCGATGATCCAGGAATGTCGGGGGAGCAGCAAGTGGTTAGAGGTAGGAAAGTGGCTCCTGCGATACTTGTGCCTTATATCGGCTGCGTCCGAGCATTACCGGTAAACCGGAGTAGGGGCTGGGGTCAGGAGTGAAGCTGGCGCGGATGCCAGGTGCCTCGTTCGAAAGATGGCGGCGTAAGATATTCAACAGTCGATGGGCTAGCTGCGAGCGTGATGTGACGGCATGCATTGATGGGTGCGGTGAGCAGAGGTCAGGGCACGCAAGATACACACGCAGGAGCATAGGGTGCAGCGCAAGCGTGAACGACATCCCCGTGACGGCTGCAACGTGTGAAGGCAACGTGCTCATTGTCTCTCTGGCGTGAAAAGTGATTGAATCTCCTGGGAGCGCTTTGACCCGACACTAGTGCCGCCCCTTAGCTGGACAACCTCAACTCTTCACCGCGAGCGACAGCCTCACCCTCCCTCTATTATTTCCTTCTGATTGCTTGTTGAACAGCTCCTCGTTTTCAGCGCCGCAGTCCGACACATCCACGGGCTGTCCAATGCAGGCTTGAACCTCTCTGCTCGGGAGGCTTGGTACACGCTGCCATCTCGGTCGATCCACGGCAGCCTTCCCAGCGCTCGGCGACGTCGTTACATTCTATTCACTGTTTTAATATTTCCGTGTTTTCTTTCCACAGCAGGTAGAGCTCCCCCGCCCATCGCGATTGCGCCCGCCCGCGAAACAGCTGCGTCCCCAGTGCCGCATCCCTTCAGTCTGCCGTCTCCTGGCGTGCAAGCAGCCACCAGCCAGCCCCGTCACATGCCGCCCATCGCCATCCCAGCCCGCTCCCGCTGCGCACACTGAGAGCCACGATGCTAATGTTGCCACTGTCGTAGATTTCCGCCTGCCCGTCTCGGTCGCCGCTCCTGCCGCCGTGCACGATCCGATTGCCTGCGAGATCTCGATCGCAGTGCCTTGAGGGTCTTCGATGGCTCAGGTACTCACCTCGATCGTTCAGACCACCGGCCCCACTACGATGCCATATTCGCCCGCCGATGGATACCCAAATTCTCCGAACCAGCCCAGTCACCAGCAGCCGCGAGCCGCGCAGATGCCGCGCAACCAGTACAATGGCAACTCTGGGGGCACGGGATACAGAGGCACCGCCGCGCCGATAGCGCCCTATGCCTTCAACAGCACGCCCCAGCTGCGACAGGAGAGCAGATCCGTGTCGGCGCCTGTCCCTCCGGTCCTGCAGCAGCTCCCCAGCCACGTCAATCAGGCTCGACTAGGCCATCCCTCCCACCCGTCCTCCTCGTCCGACTCCACAGTGTCGACTTCTGGCTCGTCCAATCGCTCTTCAGCCGGGCCGTCGCTGGGTGCCAGAGATGACAGCGATTTGCGGAAAACAATCGACAGCATTGCGCCATCGATCACACTTTCCACTGTGATCCCTGACTTTTCGCTGTCGTTGGGGGACGCTCCAATGAAGCCCTCGCCCGGTCGATATCGACGTGGCGCTGGGCGGACAGACTCGTCCACTAGCATTCCTACGGGTGCCTCGACCCCAACCCAGCGTTCGACAACAGCTGGAATCTGCGCCCCCGGGCCATATCCAACCACACAGAACGACAGCATAGGCGGCGCTGGCTCACCTCTGCCCATGAAGCCTGGTCACAACAGAGCAAACAGTGCAGACGACACGCAAGTCATCCGATCAGGCGGACTAGACCCCGCTAAGCGATACAGAAGACGCAGCTTCAATGGACTGGAAGCGGACAATACCTCCCCGAACATGGCCTT